TAGCTATGTCTGGAGGAGAGGGGGAGGGAGGAAGGAATGCTAAAATTGAATATTAGGTGGATAGTAGGGTTTTAGCAGGCACCAGGACAGGGGAGAGCTTGCCAGGCATATAGTAAATGCCCACATATATCAGTAACAATCCAGTGGCAGAACCTTATGAAAAAGAGTTAAGGTAATACAAGATAGGACAAAGAGTGGAAAGTAATAAACCTTAATCAAAGGTCATTGGTGTGTCAAGGATGCAGCTAACGTTTTTACTGGAGGGTTCAGAGGAAGATGCAGGAAGGAGATGGCCTTTGTTCTGGTCTTACAGGTAGAGTAAAATTGGCAAGTGGAGGAGGGAAGTAAAGCTATTCTAGTTGAGAAAAATATGCAAAAGGCAGTTAAGCATGCAAGTGCATGGCCACCTTCTTTCTTCTATTTCCATTCTTACTCTAGAGACCTTGGCCCTGTAGCATCTAATACCACTTTAAGTGGATGTCTCCTTTATTTAGACCTCCAGCTCTGAATCCTCCTTTGAGCCACCCGTCTATACCTCTGGATGTTTATATGGAATCTCCACTGAAAGGTCTTACAGTTACATCAACTGTTTAATGCTCATGTCTTTTTTTTAAAACCTGTTATTCTTCCAATCTTCCATCTCAGTATTGGTACCATCATCCAACCAGTGGCTGTAGCAAAAATCTAGGCGTCATCCTTGATTCCTTTTTTTTCAGCCTTCATATCCAATCCCTCAGCAAGTATGAGACTCCACTCAAAAGCACATCAGGTTTGAACACTTTCATTTCCTGCGCGTGATCTTAGTCGAGAGGCCGAGAAGTGATCTCACTTTGTTTCCTGAGTCCACGTGATCAACACTTTATTCCATCTGGTCTCCTTGTTTCTCCTCTGCTCCTCTGCTATCCATTCGTCATTCAATAGCCAGAGCTATCTTTTACAAATGTCAGCCAGATCAAGCCACTTCTTGCTTTAAACACTTCGATAGCTTTTCCTTGTTTCTAGAACTAAATCCTTGCCTAATATCTAGTCCCTATCTAGCTTGCCGATCTCACCTCCAGTCTTAGCTCACACCACCTGCTCCAGCTGCACTGGCTCTGCCCAGTTCTGAACGTGTGCAGGGTCCTTCCCACAGTGCGGTTGCACCTAATTCCCACTTCCTGCAGTGGGAGGATCTCCCTTCATCTCTTCCCATGGTTGTCTCACTCATTGTTCAAGTTTTGATCCGAATGTCATTAAAAATATGCCATCTAATAGTTCTACCTACATTTTTCTAAATCATCACCATACATATTTCCTTCTTAGAACTTAATGCATAATATTCTGTTCATTCATTTATCTCTCTTTGTAGAAAGTCCCAGCTCAATGAGGCAGAGGCCTTATTTCTCTTTAAACCCCATATCCCAAGTGTGTAGCACAGCATCTGGCTTAAAGCATGTGCTCAATAAACATTTGTTGAACAAATGAATGCCAAAGTCAGTAATGCCTTAAGACTACAGATAAGGATTGATACAATCAAATACATGAATCCATTATGTAAAATAAGGATCAAAAAGGATCATTTGTTTTGATCCTTTGGAAGTCACTGGTAAGAGTAGTGAATTTGGCCTGGCCAGTGTGGCTCAGAGGTTGAGCATTGACCTAGGATCCAGGAGATCTCAGTTTGATTCCTGGTCAGGGCACATGCCTGGGTTTCGGCCTCGATCCCCAGTGGGGGGTGAGCAGGAGGCAGCAGATCAATGACTTTCTCATCATTGATGTTTCTCTCTCCCTCTCCCTTCCTCTCTCTGAAATCAATGAAGATATATTTAAAAAAAAAAAAGTAATGAATTTGGAGTAAAAGACATGTAGGAATGCCATAGGTGAGGAGTAAAATAGATGTTAAATTGGAGAAGAGTAAGTATTATAAGTTGCTTGACTGAAGAGTGAACAATGAAGGGTGCGTTGCTACAGTCTTGGGCGTCTAAAGAAAGTTCTTTTAGGTTTTAGTTAATTGGTGAGATTTATGTATATTTCCATGTGAAGAAAAGGTAGCAGCAAAGACCAGAGGGCTGAAGGTACAGCAGGGAGAGAGGTAGATGATAAAGTACAGTTATGAAGAAGATGGAATTGGGGACTAGGATCTGGAGCCCAGGTGAGGGATGTCTTGGACAGAAGGAAGGACACCCCTTCCTTTGAGGGGCAGGACATCAAGGAAGGCATCTGTTAGAGTCTCCCTTTTCTATGATAAAAAGTGAAGAAGTAGAGGCTGCTATAGAGCTGAACACAGTAAACAGGTTTTGGAATATTACCAAGAGAAATTGAGAGGCACTGGCCAGGAATTCATAAAGGAATAATGATTGTCAGTGAAGATTCAGTTGAAACCATGACTATGGTACCAGTTTCTATGGTTGTGGAATTCATTCATCAATCAAATGTTTATTAGGTATATGCTATGTTCTCTATACTTTCATTGCTGTTGGAAGTGACAAGGTAAATAAATCACAGTTTCTGCCATCTAGTGGGGGAGAGAAACAAGTGTACTAATTAGCCAAGCCTTGTGATGAGGGCTATAGTAGAGGATCAATGGTTATAATTAAAGATTTCAGAACTGAACTGTTCTTGATGGTGATAGAATCCCAGAGGAGGAGGTGGCTCCTTGGAATAGACGAAGTCATGGGACTGTGAGATTTGCAGGTGGGACGGGCACTCGGACAGACACTGAAGTTGCTTAGGAAGGTGGGAGGAGTTGTTTTGGACAACTCCTGTGTGGCTGTGACTCACATATCTGAATTCTTTTATATATATATATAATATATCTTTATGGGTTTCAGAGAGAGGAAGGGAGAGGGAGAGAGAGAGATAGAAACATGAATGATGAGAGAGTCATTGATCGGCTGCCTCCTGCAAGCCCCCCACTGGGGATCGAGCCCACAACCAGGGCATGTGCTCTGACTGGGAATCGAACCGCGATCTCCTGGATCCTAGGTCGATGCTCAACTGCTGAGCCACACCAGCCAGGCACATATCTGAATTCTTGATGAATATTTGAAACCCACACATGCCAGTGATAAGGATAGGTAGAGAGTGGTATAGCCAGACAGTGTAAACATCAAAGGAAGAAGGTGTTGGACGTGAAAGGAGCAGTTATGGAGAAGGAAAGTGGCCAAACCGTTTCCTAGCCTCTTGGCACAGGGGGCATCCGAAGGTGAGCATCCTTCCTTCACTCAAGAGAATTTCAGTCAAAACCATGGAGCAGTGTTCGGATGGTTAACGAAGTAGATTTAATGTATGATGACAGGGGTTTCAGAGGGCCTGGTAGAAGAAGTAAAGGAATAAATTGAGAGAGGGAGGCACAGTCTGACTGACGCCTGGTGCACAATAGGTGAGCATACCAGAGAGTCAAGAACGGAAATAATTGGTCCTGAGGTGTCAAAAAGCCTCAGGGTCTGCACAGGACAGGGCACAAGTGGTGTCAGCGATCTCAGGATACCAGCAACCCGGGGCGGGTCCACTTGTGGTCAAGGGATTCCCCACAAAGGACCACTGACTTGTCTCCAAGGCCAATGCTGGGAGTAAGCAACCATTACTGGTCTACTGGGACCCAGGGAAAAATGCTCTTTAATCTAGTATCTGTTATAATTCAAAATTTAGCTTTGGAGTAGCTTTATTTCCTCTAATTATGAAACAAATACATACTCATTGCAAACGATCAGGTAACACAGAAAAATACCCAGAGTAAAAGAAAGATCACTTATAAATTCCAGAGGGAGACAATCTAGTCACTGTTACCAGTTCCTATCGGGCACTGACAGCCCTGGCATCGGTCAGGACTCTGAAATGCACGTGCCAGGCCGTCTTCCTCCCCTCCCTGCGACCCTCCCTTCCACTCCCCATCGCGGTGCTGCGCCCTTTCGGCGTCACCCCCGTCCTCCCCAGATTCAGATTTCAGTCACTCTGGGTGGGGTCGCCTGACCTGAGCTCGCCCTCTCGCTCACTAAGTGCTGCGTGGCGTGGCTGCTGTGGCTGCTGGGTGGCGTGGCTGTGCCCTGGTGTCCGCATGCTGCTTTTGGTCCTCTCAGGGGTCAGCAACCAGGTCGCTGGGAAAATTCCACAGCCACTGAGCTTTTCATATTCAGTTCTAAAAAGAGAAAATGACACCTTGGGGGGGGGGTGACCCATCCTCTCTACCACTGACCCTCTGTGGAGTCGCTCACCTGTGAGGTAATTCTGTTTTTTTTAACCAGCAAAACCCAGTCTCTGGACCCAGGCACAGCAGGCAGGCCAGCGGGGAGTGAGCCTCTGCCCAGTAAGCCTCAGCTCCAGCCGCCCCCCCAGTGGGAGAACCGCGGGGTGGTTTGGGCCGCACGTGTAGCTCTGGTGTTCTCGCTCTGCCTCCAGAAGAGGAGAGTAGCACGGGCCTAGCAAGAACCTTCTGAGCCTGACAAATCTGCCCTTTATCTTACCACCTAAGTCATAACTGCTATATATCACAACACTACCAATTATTTCTTTTCTTCCTTCCTCCCACCTATCTCCTGCCACTTCCCCAGAAGCATAAAGCTTTCGGCATCCTGCTGTCCATTAACATAAATAAACTCATGCTTTTAAAGTAAAAACAGGTTTAATGCTATATTTGTTGAAGACTGCATTACCAGGAGAGGGTAAAAATATCCTTGAGTGACGGCTAGATCATATACTTTAGGGACAATAACATACCTTTATTGTGGTTCCCTGAAAGTCAATTATTCTAGCCTTAGATTAAAACCTCAGGTCTCAGCACAAGTTACAGTTCTACTTCCAAAGCTGTTAAACCATACGGTGTCTCAGGCCATGACCCTTCATGTTTTAATTCATTTTTTCTGTTGCCAATATGTTGTAAGCAGATCTAAGAGAGGGAAAGGATGAAGTGCCATTTACATTCAATCTCTGCTTTTATGAGCCAGTGGGTAATGTTGTAACTTCCCTCCTTGTTCTTATATCTCTGTTGTTAATTTAAATTTTATGTAACATTTATACAATAGATAAGAAAATACTGGGCTAAAAAAGAACAGTATTGGCAAGAAATGGAAAGGAGAGATCTTCGGCGTCTAGAAGAATTGAAGAAAATAATGGCTGACCAGTCGGCAAAGGACAGAGAAAGGTAAAAGAAAAATTTTAAATTGTGTAGTGATGGGGGTGGTGGATGGGATCTTCTATCATGTGTTAGGATAAATAATATCAGTGGGAACATTTTTGATACTTAATGTATATTTATAGTATTTATATTCACAAACAGATAAACCGATACTTACAATGCATTTTAAACTCTCACATTCATACATGAATCTCTAGTTTTTCATTTTGTTCCTTAGATGGCTTCCTAGTTAAAACTCTCACAGAAGATTTCATAGTATTTGATTGCCCACTGTGTGCATGAAATGATAGTGGCTGCTGCTGTCACTTAATATTTTGACCAAGAAAGAGGAAAGCATTGTTCAGATGAGAAGGGAGACACACTTACTATGGCCGAGGCTGGGAAGACAATACACAATTATACTGTGCTGTATGGCATTCATTCAGTACACTTAAATTTTCTATACCCATATAGGAAAAACCCCTGAATTTCCTAGAATAATGGGGTTTTTTTGGGAACTGGAAAGGACATTTGAGGTCGTCTAACCCAATCTCCTCATTTTATAAATGAATACACTGAGAAATTTAAATTATTTTTCCAATGTTACTGTATCAATCAGAGTCAGTGGAAAAGATACAGAGAAAATAGTAATTTGAATAGGAAAAGCTTAAAATAAGGAATTATTTGTTCTAACAGAAAATCTGTTACATACAAGGATAAAGAGGACTTTAAAAAACACCCCAGGGATAAAGGAGGGTTCACATGGAAGAAACAAATTTGGAGGTTTGTTTCCCATCCCTCCCCATGATCGGGACTCAGACCTTATCGTAGAAGGTGTGGCTGTGGCGGGCTGCATGGTGGAGATCTTGGGTGGTCTCCACAAGATCTTGTGCACAGCCAGCAGGCGAGCGGGAAATACCCTCCTCCAGTGCAAGAGGACAGAGCTGAAACCAACCATCGGTATGCTTGCGAGACTCCGTGGGAATCTGACCGCGGGCATATCTCTGAAGTCTCATGAGAAACTGATTACAAGGTGCCAGTGGAGTTCCATGGGCACAAGCACCACTGGGTGTCTCTCACACCCAGTGCTGGCAGCCACGTGGTAGGCACAAGACGGGGTAAACACTGGGCCCAGGAAGGAAAGCTGCTTTCTTCCGCAGTGTCCCTCCAGCACTCTTCTCTGGCATAACGTTGTGTGAGCTGCAAGGGAGAAATAATTACAGGGTTCAGCTCTATTTTCATAGAGCAGACAATGAAGGGTGGATTTGGAGCTGATAGGCAATAAATTGGTAACTGGCGTAGTTATCTAGTTTTGCTAGCTCCTGAGTGGACTTTCACAAAAGATAAATGAAGGATAGATCTTTCATTTCATAACATAATTCACAATACATTTTCTTTATAGTTAATCAATGTGAAAAAATTGTCCGGAACGCTGTACTTCCTGTTCAATTTTGCTGTGAACCTAAAACTGCTCTAAAAAATAAAGCAATTGGATTTTTAAATAATGTTGGAGGACATAACCATTATTTTATACAATGAATTTCACTCGTATCTAGAACGCTTCCTTTGTGACCTGTGGGACAGTTATTGCAAACTCCAGTCATAGGATTGCAGAGTGAACCTGGAGTTCCACACAAATACCAGGAAATTCCTAAGGATTTTCTGGATGAAATTCACATTATTTTCCAGGTATCTCAGGATTCTAGAGTTGAGTTTAATCTATTATAAAGAAAAGTGAGAATAGAGCAAAGTCCAGGTTCAAGGCTAAGAAGCGAAACAGTCAATGAGAAACCAATTAAATAGGCACAAATCAAGATATGACTGAAAATCAGAAGACAGGCTATGCCATGAGTCAGAGACAAAAACTCACAAACAACTAAATACTGAAGGACAAGGGAAAGGTGATGGTCAAAAGGCTGGTTGAATGGTCTCAGACTATACTAGGGAAATAAAAGTGAGCCACAGGAATTAAAGGGGGTTGGAAAAACAGAACAGATGTGAGTCCCAGCAGCTAGGGGACATGCTTCTAATAACACTCTCCTCATAGCCAGAGAGTTTCTTTGATTACAGAGCCATTTTAGTCTTTCCCTTCCTGTTCCAATAATTATCAAGATTAGCTGACTCAGAAATCCTTTTGAAAAGAAGAAAAGGAAAATCAGATTAATCTGCACTATATAACAGAATAAAAATAGGCACATTACAACATAGAAAAAAGATCACTAAGGACTAGGAACCAGAAGATGAAGGTTTTAGTATTAAATCTTCCTTGAATAGTATATGACCTAGGGAAAGTCATTCCTTTAACCTCTACAAGGCTGTGTCGTCCTTTGTAAATTTGAGCTGAACGACTTCTGTGGGCTAAGTGAGCTATCAGCGCTTAAGGGCCTATGTGAAATGTTGTAGATTAAGATTATTATGAATCTAATGTTCACATTCCAATGGAAGATCAGTGAGAAAGGCCATTAAAACATCAGGATAATATATCAGGAAACAATTCCCAGAAATTTTTGGGTGATGTAGATAAAATCACAGTCCTCATTCTGTGATTTGAGGAAATGAAGTTGAACGTGTAAAAATTTTGCTTCTGAACCTGAAGTTGTATTTTTTTGGTAACCATCCCGAAACTAAGAAATTACTTGATTGGTTAAAGTGTTTATCTCTACTACTGAAAATACAATTCACAAATCTCATATATGACTTGAGATTATAACTGTAGGCCATTTTTCTCATGTCAGAATAAGAAGGCTTGAAACAGTTTCCAGATCTGTTAAAAACACACACAGAGGGTTTGAAAACTTCTGTTATTTTATTTTTTTAATTCTAAGATAAATTTCTTTGAAAACAATATTCATAAATTAGCACAGATATTAGGTTGAACAATAAGCAAGTTACATTTTGTGGGTCCAAAATGGCTTAGTATTCACAGTTTCATGTGGTTCAACGGAGTTTTTAAAAAACAGCAATTCATTTTGTTTATTAATTATATTTCCCTTTTCACTCTATTATAAAGTATCTTTTGCCCTCATCTTTTTACTGACATTGTTGCCAAAGTTTCCACTGCCCTGCTAATTTCCTGCTGCCTTATTTTCATTTCTCAACGTGCTGTAGAGATTAGAAGGGAAGGCTCTAGTCTACAGTCAGGGTCTCAACGTCAGAGTCCTGGCTCCACCCTTTATAGCTGTATGAACTTGGCTAAGTCCTTTAACTTCTCCGAATTTCAGTCTCTTCTTCTGTACAATGAAGACATGAGTAGTATCTAGTTCACAGAATTGGTGCAAGGAATAAATGAGGAATTAACATACTCGCTACCTGGAACATAGTAAATATTCATTAACTATAAGTGATTATGATCAATTGACTTTTTAAAACATGAGACACCTTCCAACATAATTTTTTCACAAACTATATAAGTATTTAAAATATTTTAGACACAACATGGAATATGAGGACATTCTTATAACAAATAAAACATTAAAGTTAAATCAAAAGTGACCTGTGATCATTATCCTCACACAGTCTTTTCTGCAGCAATCATTTCTGTTATCAGTTGTATATATGTGTGTGTGTGTGTTTGTATTATGCATAATGTATACACACATACCTCCTATATACATAAAAATGAATTTAAGAACAACAACAAAAAAATCCCAATACATTTTATTATAACATACCACTATGTTAGCTCTGGCTGCCATCACTGGTGACTCAAACAACAGACATTTATTTTCTCACAGTTCTGGAGGCTGGAAGTCCAAGATCAAGATGCCACGGTGATTTCTGGTGAGAACTCTATTCCTGGCATCTAGACAGCTGCCTTCTTGATTTGTGCTCAGATGGTGGGGAGAGAGAGGCAACCAGCTCTTTATGCCTCTTCTCATAAGGGCACTAATCCCATTATGAGGACACACCTTCATGACTTCATCTAAACCTAATTATTCCCCAAAGTCCCCACCTCCAAATACCATTGCCCTGGGGGTTAGGATGTCAACATACAAATTTTGAAGGGACACATTCTGTTTATAGTCATCATTTGTGTAAAAAAATCATTTATGTACATACAAATTGCCTATTTATTATTAATTGCTATTTATTGGTTGCTGCTGGCCTATAATTTTTTGTACCAATTAGAAAAGGTGCTTCCATCTGGTGGCAAAGTGCATAGTGCCCCTACTAGAAGTAGATACATTAGAAAAAGGAAAGACTCTCTTCTGAACCATGGGACACCACTTGACAAGTACAGGCAAAGCTGGGCATCATTCCCCATTTATACTCCTGGCTGGGCATCACTTTTGCAAACTACAAACTTCAAAATTATACATGGTATCCTTGCAAATAAACCGACCTAGTTCTTTTAAAATACTACATATTATCCATGCTTCTTCTAAAATTTAGCCATCTGGAATATATTGTCATGAATGATAGGAGCTAAGTGTCTGACTTTCATTTTTTTGGTCTAAATTGATAGTCAGTAGTCTCAACACCAATTATTTGATGATTCATTCTTACCCACTGATTTGAAATGCCACCTTTATCATATATTACACTTCTAATTATGCTTTATATCCATATGGACTCTTGACTAGATGAAATAAAAACTGATCTATATTTATATTTTCCCATGGACACCATGCCATTTTAATTATTGTTTGCTATCCGGTAGAACAAGTGTTCGCTCATTGTTCTTTTCAAAAATATCATGTGAAATTTCACTTAAAAAATCCTGTTGATTTTTTGCCCTGAAATTTTGTTAAGGAGAACTGATATATAAACCAAATTTAATCTCCAATCTAGGATCATGCTTCCAGAATAGCTCTTCAGCTCAAGTCCTCCTTTAGGTTCTTTAGAACATTTCATAGCTTTTTTTTTTTTTCTTTTTCTGGTAAAGGCTTGGATATTATTTTGGAATTAGTAGAAACTGGTGACCCAAGAAGCAGATTAAACATTTTCTTTAGTAGCTACATCAGAAATAGTGCTTGAAGTGGGAGTGGCAGCAGGGATGCAGAAGTGACAGATGTTTATGGAGTATT